CAAAATCAGGTCTTCAGTGTAAGTGTTTTCTGTAGGAACTATGAACTTTAATCAAAACTGAACATTGAAAGGTTGTTTTCTTTCTTTTTTTTTCCAACCAAAAGGTGAAAATTCCCACAGAGAACCCATGAAAAGGATTTTGTTGTAGAAGTTTTTGATGGGAGAGAAAGCAATACTTTCTCCTTAGCTTTGTGGTGAGCCCAGAGGTGGTCCTGAACTTCCTGACTGAGGGGCCAATGGATATCACAGCTGAAGCTACAAGTTACACCAGATTTTCTTCTGGGGGGCAATTTCCTCTCTGACTCCTGGGCTGTTTTCTCTTGTGTACTTTTAGGCTGCAAGTTGCTAATGATTGCTCTAGCCCGAGAACTTAGTGTTCATAGTAATAATTAGCAGATGCATCTCCATAATAAATGAAATCTTTGCTAAATAAGGGTGTGTGTCACAACACAGACATTCCCCTTTCTCTTAACTGCCTCTGTGATCATGGCTGGCCTTTGTGCCACAAGTACAGTGGGCACAGCAGAGTTTGCTCCTGTTGTAGAAGCAGGCTAGGATTCAGACTAGAATACCTTTATTTTGTCTCTATTTCAAGCCTCCTGTAAACAACACAACTGGCACAGTCAAAGGAATAAAATCAGAGCCACCCCGCAAATATGAGTTTATACATCATCTTGAAAACTTTCTGGAATTTTCCTTATGTTGAAGTGAAGCTATTTTTTTTTTTTTTTAGTGAGCACCATTAACCTATGTAAACACCAGGTGGCTTTAGGTTATCAAGTAGTGTGATGGGATGGGAAAGAGAGTTGTATTTTAAAAGTGGAGATCCTGGCTTGTTAATGAAAATGTGACTGGAGTTAATAATTTCTGGCAAGGTAACTTATCCTCCGTGTACCTTTACATTTCTTCCCTCTTGTTTATTATCTGGCTGCGATGAGTTTGTGGTTCTGCTTTGTAGCAGTTCAGGAGATTTAAAAGGGACTTTGATTTGCACCACTTCTGCGGGAGGGAACAGAGAAGCCCAGACTCTGATTGCTGAATTTCCAGGAGGACCCTTGAACCACTTCTGAAAATGTGGTAAGAGCAAAGTCAGCTGTGCAGGAAGGGTGAGAACTGTGTGCTTGACACTTTACAGGACCTGGGACAACTTACAACTGTGGCACTCCTTCTGTGTACTGGTTGTGTAATAAAAGCACGTGAGGATTGTGAACAGGAGATCACAGAGCAGGAGAGAGTATCTGGGTGGCATCAGTGGAGCCTTGATCTTCTCCACAGGGCTGCTCTCAATCCCTTCATCCCCCAGCCCATGTTGATACTGGTGGTTGTCCCAACCCATGTGCAGGACCTTGCACTTGGCCTCGTTGACTCTCATGAAGTTTACATGGGCCCACTTCTTAAATTTGTTCAGGTCCCTCTGGATGGCATCCTGTCCCTCAGGAGTGTCAACCACACCGCTCAGCTTTGTGTCGTCTACCAACTTGCTGGGAGTGCACTTGATCCCACTATGTCATTGATGAAGATGTTGAACGGTACTGGTTCCAATACAGATCCCCAAGGGACACCACCCATCACTGATCTCCATCTGGACGTTGAGCTGTTGACCACTGCTCTCTGGATGCGACCATCCAACCAATTCCTCGTCCACCAAACAGTCCATCCATCAAATCCATATCTCTCCAATTTAGAGGACAGGATATGACTGGGGGGACAGGATATTGAAAAGCAAATGCTGGTTCTTTGCAGCACACACCTGAGTGATGATGCAGGTGAGCTGAGTGCAGGCTCAGCGTGGTCCACTCCTGCTGTTCTGCAGACCAGAGGCAAGCACATCGATTCATATATAAAATCTTTTTGTTTTCCATGAGTGATGCAGGTCCACTGCAACTTCAGGCATTTCAGAGTGAGGCTGCAACATGAAGTAGTGGTGTGTGTAGCAGGGCCTTGGGAGAGCTGCAGGTTGCTGACAGTTCTTCTGGTTATTAATGGCCACAGCAAGGGCTTGCAGGTTCTGAGAATAGACTCTCCACATTTGCTTTAGAGGAGACAGCTGACAATGGTGTTTGATACAGTAATATGTCTCTGCCTGACTTTTGACTGACAGTGACACAAACTTGCTCTTATCCCAGCCCTGGCTTAAACCTGGTGACATTTACTGCAGAGCTAACTTCTCCAGTCTAAGTTTAGATGGTGGTTTTTGTGTTTGTCTGCATGTGTGTGCTTAATAAGATAAAAAAGCAGGAGAGGCCTTCTGCAAATAAAGTGAAACAGGAATTTCAAGCCATGGGTGAATGCAAAAGAGGGAGGCATTCAGCCTGCATGGATTTTTGTGTACTGGTTGCTGTAGATCCTTGTTTAAGATATCTGGGTGTTGGAGAGTTATTACCTACTTTGGCACCTTAGGCTTGCTCTCATGAAATATGTGGTAAATATTCATAACTATGGGACTGTCTGATGTGGTGTTTTTGATTTTTTTTTTTTTTTTTTTTTTTTTTTGGGCAAGCTGCACTCAGAATTGGCTGGTAGCCTTAGCCCCACCTGTGCACAGCTAATGACATATATTGTGGGTGCATGTCCATAAGCCATCTGGAAATAGCGTATGATATCAGCTGAGTGCTGAGATGTCATTTCTTGCCATGCATTCATGTTACGGTTTCAAAAGGTCCTCCTCTTAATGAACCCCCTCTGCAAGAGAAAAATCCTCCTCCTTCCCACAGGAGACAGCCCCAGGAGAACAGAGCTGGCAACAGGCTTCTCATCCCTGCCTTGAAGGGTGAGTGGTGTCGGGGAAGCCCGTTGCTGTCCTGTTTGGTCCTCAAGCAAGTAGTGCCGGAGCATAGTGTGAGAGAGAACAGATCCTTGGCCAGTGATGGCTGAGCAAGAGGTGTCCTGAGCTTATGCATAACTTCACACTGTTAAATGGTGGTTGAGTGGTTGCTCTCACCCCGAAGCCTATTTCAGATGAATGACCTAGAGGGGAATGGTTTTAATCTCCCATTACAGACCTTTGGTAAGCCTTTGTTCTTTCAGGAACATGGCGTTCTTCTTCTGATACTGTCTTCTCCAGGGCCTGGTCTGGCAGCAGGTCATGTAACCCAAAAAGACGTGGCCCTGAGGGCTATACACTCTGTATCCTCCACTAGATGGATGAAGGATTTGCATCTGTGTTCCCCTGGCATTACAATGAAAAATGGCCTATGAAAGCTGGTGGAGTGCGACCCTTTGTGAACATCATGAACAATTTATTGGCCATGTGTTTCTGGAGAGTTCACCTGTGACTTCAGACAGTGCTAACAGAGTTACTTAGGCAGAGAGGTCCGATGGCAAGTCGTGTCCAGAGAGGCTGTCTGCGTAAACCAGATTAACTAATTTCAGAAAAACACTGGCATTTAGAAAAGTGGTTTCAGCCATCCGTTATAGGGAAGGAAAGCTCCTGTCTTTGACTCCTTTTTCATCTAAAATGGAGGCACAGATATACGATCAGGGCAGAGGGACTTGATTGCATCAACCCCTTCAGAACTGGTCCATGATGTCAGCAGTCCACATGTCTTTGCATCTACTTTGCCTCGCTTCTGAGTTCCCTCACAGAAACAATTGTCTTCCTGTGATGGGTGGGGAAGGGGTTTTCTTTTACCATTCCTTTTCCTATTTGTTTCCATGTCCCTCTTTTCCAGCTCTTAAAGTTTGCAGAACTACACTTTGCTATCAGTGCTAGCAGTGTTTTACGCTGTCACTTGATATTTGTTGGGTGAGCTGCATCTTTTGTCTGCAGGAGACTTGGGGGGGGATTTTCAGTTCCATGTGCTCTGAAACCCTTCTGCCCTTTGCTAAGTCAGACATATGGTCCCCATTCGTTCTTGTTAGTGTGATAATGCATTAGTACTGCAGCAGTTCTGAGGGGTAAAACCCCAGGGTTGGGATCCCACTGTAATCAAACAAATCTGGAACAAGAAAGGCCTCTTGCCTTGAAGGTTGCGTATAGTGAGTGATGATGTAAAGCAGACCAGGCTTGCAGCTGCACTGGTGCTGTAATCAGCAATCCTGGCTGCCTGCATTTGGGATTTTCTGGGGCATGATGTGCAGCTGAGAGGGAGGAGTTGGTCCATCACCACTCCTGTGAATGAAAGGTGCAGAGCTCTGCTGATCTGATGGATCTTATTATTTCAGTAGCTGATTATGGGATAGTACCAAAACCCCTAGGTATTCTGTGTGACATCTACAGAGACAGGAGTGGTAGTATTGTTTTATGGCCTGTTTATAATTCCATAGCAGGAATAAAAGCAGTCTGAAGGTCTTTTAACAGACCCTCCTCCAATTGATTTACAGTGACAAAATTTCCTCAGTGTGGCTTTTCCTTCTCTTTTTGGAGTGATAGCTCATGTCCACTTGTTTGTAATATATTCAGCATCTGTCGACACCCTTCCAACCTGGAGCTGAGCAGAGAGACTTCTTGTCCAAGGCTGGTAACTGAGCTCTGAGACTGCTGTCAAAAATAAAAGCTGCTGAGCTTGGATCAGATCTGGTTATCTGAGAACTGGGACCTGTGTGAAGGACAGAAGCGAGCGAGTTGATAATTAGGAGTACTTAATGTTTTGCCTTGGCTGGGAGATCTTGATATGAAGGTTTGAGAGAGGAGGAGCATGAAAAACTACTTTCCTTGAATTGCTGTGTCCTGTGCCCAGTTTAAGGATTTAGCAAATTTAGCGCTGCTGCTCTAGCATATGAAGGAGCTCTCTCTCTTCTGTTCCTGCTGCCTTCTTAAAAAAATAAAAGAGAGCACCCTGAGGTGCCTCTCCCACTCTCTGGATTCGTATGCCAAACTCACAGATGCAGATGCTTGTGAAACCATGTTGACTGATGCAAATGTGACAGAGCCTCAGCACAGCACCCTTTCTGCCCTGTGGTGATGGCAGCTGAGCTAGGCTCTCTGGGCTGGCCTTTTACATCTTTTGTCACATAGGAGAAAGATACCTGAGAAGCCTGTGCAGCACTGTGTAGAGGACATGGTCATGATCAGCTGGGAAGAGGGGGCAGCTGAACTCCTCATCTCATCACCTGCTCGGGGAACATGTACGTGACTGGTAACATAGGGACAGCATCCCCTTTCACACTGCTGGTAAATCCGTGCCTGATGTAGGCAGGACAGTGACATGTGAAAGGTCCTGTTCTCCACAAATGGTCATTTGTAGTGTACCGGATACAGGTATGTCAGGTGTCCTTGTGCCTTTTGCCTTTGAATAGTGCTTTTGGGAGAAGAAGGTGAAGCATTCTGCGTCTGGCCTTTGAAGCGATGGAAGCGTTTGCTGCCAGGCCAGCCAGGTGATCCTGACTTAGTCTTTCCATGGTACCTCACCTCTAAAGATCTCCAAGTTCAGTGTCCATCTTGCTGGTAGCTAATAGAATAAACCTGCCTGATGCGGATGTGTTCACAGTAGTTGTTGGAAGAAGAGGGCTTGTGCTTGGCAACCTGTTCTTAAACTCTGGAGAAAATCTGAGGACTGGTCCTATGACTTAAAAAAACTGCTGTTTTGTTCAGAAATGTCTTTTCAGTGTTGACCACTGAGAGGGTGTTACTGTAGGGTCTCTCATAAAAGAAGGCTTCCACATGATCAGTTTTAACAATCCTTGCAAACGTATTTTTGACTTTTTCTAGAACAGCTAATAAAAGTACTGGACATTCTACTGTTAGGGAAGCAATTAATTCAATTTGTGACTTTTTTCTTTAAAAAAAAATGCAACACTTTAGGTGGCACATTGTGCTTGTGCTATAGCTTTTAAATATATTCTAGTAATATTAGGAAGATCTGATTTTGGGGTTTTGGGAGTTTTCATTTTGTATTGTTTTCCTGTTAGATGGATTTTATTTTTTTTACTTTTTTTTTTTTCCTTAAAAGTCAGCTGGATCCATTCAGAAGTACTATGAACAAGTTGGTTTTTTTTTTTTTTTTCACTTAAAGTGCTATCTGGAGTAAAAGCAAGGGAGTGCATGTAGAGCTTGCCTGTTTCTTCAAAGATCTTGTTATTTATAGGCTTTTTGCCAAAGCTGATGCCACAAAAAAAATGACTGAGCCCCTGGGCTTTATGTACACTTGAATGTGGTCTTTATCTTACTTCTTTAATGAGCCTGTGTGAGGCTGGAATTAGCACAGATTAGCTGCAGGGTGCTTCCTGTGCCTTTTTGGTTCAGAACTCTGATTTGCAGAACAAGTCCCACTGTTGTTTTGTGAAAAGTCAAGAATCAACCCCTCAAACTTGCTGAGATTTAGATATTGTAGCCCAGTTGTGTGGGAAGTAGCACCGAGCTTTTGGAGTAATGTAAAGGACAATGAGTGTTTTTTGTTTTTTAAAACATCTCTGGCTGGATATCTGTACTGCAGTCATTAAGCTATCTGGATGCCAACATGCTGTGAATCCTATATAGGAGGTATAGAATAAACTGTCTTTTAGTTCAAGTTCCTCATGATATCCTGGGAACTTGGAGAAAGTACTGAAGAGAAGAGGACTAGATCAGTAAATGACCTTTCTGCATCAAAGCAAAAAAATACCCCAAAATACCAAACACTACACTGCTTCTTTAACTCATATTTATTGTAATAAAGGCAAATTTCAGAAGGCTCTGTGCATGAGGCATGTTTTCACACATCAGATGCTTCTAATCTATAAAACAAAACTGTTCATAAAGTAGCAGCAGGAAGATGCAGGGGCTGCAGGGTGTAGTTGGCCACTGGAGGCAGGATGGGTAGGTGATACAGGTTTAACCTTGATTTCCTGCTTACTTGTGTGATGCTTGCCAAATGGCATTGGATATGAGGTACTTGTATGGTCAAAGATGGGAGGATAAAAATGACTGTCTTGTAGTAAGTAGCCTGAGAGGTGCTCCTGCTGGAAGCATAAAATTTTTGGGGAAAGGCAAGACAGAAGCTGTTGTCTTTTTGCTCTCAGAGTGCTCCAGGAAATGTGGTGGATTAAAGAAGCAAAGGAGTACTCAAACCTATGCCTAGCAGAGAAGAGGATCATGGAAATCAGTCAACAGACAGCTATTTCAGAACCATCCTAATTCCTGGCAAAAACCCGGTTCTTTATTAGGTACTAGCTAAAATGTGAATTGCAGCCATTTCTTGTTCTTGATTTTGAAATGCCTTGGACAGTTGATTCCTAGTGCTCAGACCTGTAGGCAAGTGGGCTCTCAGGCTTTCTATAAGTAACAGCCCACAGTTACATGCAAAGAGAGGAAAAAAAAAATGTTAAGACATTTGGAGATTGGAGATTTTAGGCTTATCGGTGAGTTTTTAACTTACTGTTTTTAATATATGACTACTTATTTCTACATCATGAGGTTTTGCTAGGTTCTGCCTTCTTTGGGAGGATTTGTCTTTCTGAAACCTGTAAACTGGCTGAAGAAAATAAATAAGTAGAAACACACTGGATGTAAAGTTTGAATTATTCTGTATAATGTGCTGGAATATTTTGGCTTTGCCTTCCATAACAGTTTGCATAACCTTTCCTGGGTTCATCAGAGGGTTGATAAATGCTGACAAGCCTTCTTCAATGCAGCTGGTATAGTCTGTGGACAGACTAAATTCATATGATAGTATGTGCATGAGTGAATTACTACAGGTCTCTAGACTGTTTCTGCTCCGGCATCTTCTTTTAGCAATTACCTACAGTGGTTCAGATTGGTTAGGGCCCTGAAGTCTTGATGAGTTAGACAGAAATATACAATAGTTGTGTATGTGACTATTGTATCGGTGAATATATGCGCGTCTAGAAAACTTGAGCAACATGGGCACCTGCACAGCAACCAACCCTTGTAGCATACAGATTTTTGCCTTAAGATAGGGAAGGATAGTATCTACACACAGAACCTCAGCTCCCATCTTTCCATATTTGGAGCAGTTACACTTTATTGTCTGAACAATGTGACTTGAGCTTACAAAAAACCATTTCGCTTGTCCTATAAGCAACGTGTGGAAAGGCTACGTAGGCTGAAAGTCATAGTTTCTGGAGGTGGATGAGAAACCTCCAACTTTCCAACTTGGATATGTATCTGAGAACAGGGTTTCTGGAATTACTCTCCTGCATTGGGGAAGCAGAAAGCAGAATGAGGCTGGCAAAATTACTGTCTTCATCTTCTGAATTCCTCATACTTGACCTCTCTGAATAAGGAAGTTCCAACTTTTGGAGGAAAATGTTCTGCTCAGGAGGTGGTTGTCCTCAGACTCCTTCCTCTAAGAGGGAGGGATTTTGCAAATACATTTGTGCTAGCCAGGTATGGAGCTTTTAGCCTGTCCCGTTGTGCTGCTCCTTTTCTTTCCTTCCTACTTGCTTCCTTTTAGTTTACTTGTTGACAATCTACTATAGTTAGAGACAGTGTTAGCAGATCCTGGTAATGAAGGCTTCCTAGAATGAGTGGCATTAAGGCAGGGAAATGTCAAAGCCCAATTTAGAAAAGTGAGTTGATCACAGGGTGGAAATTGAAAGCAAAGTGCTTAGTACCTCCCTATGAAAGAACTGAGTACTGTCAGTAGGGTGGGGAGGGTCTGGGGGGAAACCTGCTGCAGCTTCTGCTCCAGAAACAAAGAGGCTCTTGATGCTGGTCCTCAGAGATGTTGATCTTGCTGAGACAGGGAGTGGGGTCAGCTAGAAACAGAGGAAGAGATAAATAGGGTAGTGAAAAGAATCTTGGCCTTTTTCCTAGTGCAGAAGATTAATTGGGGTTCTGGCCCTGTGTCCAAGATGGCTCTTTGTATTGGGGCTCTATGCATGGACATGGCAATTTTGACTTCCAAAGCAAGACAGCAATTCTTGAAGCACAGCGTGAGAGCCAGCTTTTTGAGCTCCAGGTGCAGGAACAGCCCAAGATCTGCTAGACGCATAGAGGTGGTGTGGGGTAATGTGAGTCTCTGGACCTTGGGCACACTTTGCAATTTTGCTATCCCTATGTTGTACCATAATGCCATTCCTTATCTTTAGGCTGTAGGGTGGACATGGGAGACTGACCAACGCGAAGAGCTGAAGTACCCGGAGCCTTCTCCCAACCCTTGCTGGCTGTCCTGGGCTGAACAGATCTTGAGGGTTAGGCCCAGTTCTTCTCATTGTGTTTGGCTATGGTCTTAGGACACTCGAGAACCATGTACTATGTATGATGATGTGTTGTTTTGATAACCAGTACTATGAGTGATGTGAATCCCTTGCTTGATAGCTTGTAACTTGAGAAATGTGTCCCCACAGGGAGCCAAGCACAGGAGGAAGCGTCTTAAGAGTGAAAGATTTCGCAAGCTTGCTCCAGTTAGTCTCCGTAGCAAATACCATGAGGTAATTTAAGTACCTTTACAGAACAGAGCATACAAATACAAAAGTGGTATCCTCCCTGTAGTAGTATTGATTAGCATGTTGCTGCAAGTTTTTGGTTTTGAGATGTTTCATTGTGGTAGCTAGCAAAGTCTTTGCATCCATGTATGCTTGGATACCAGCTACCTTGCCCCATGGGGACAAACTGGGCACAGTAACTTTGATTTGCTTCAGGTCTTGGGTGAAGTGAGTGGTGCAGTTAGGAATAGCTTGTCCCTATAGAGTCCTCGCTACAGGCTTGTACCCTACAATTGCTTCAAGGAAAGCCTCTGAGTTTAGAACAAGGATGGCAACTGCTGCGGTAGAATGTGCTGTAGCCAAAGAATTCTCTTTTTATGGTTAATAGAAAAAGGGTAGTCTTCAGCAGTGTCTTCAAAGGAAAATCCTGAAATAAAGCAGGCATTCTTAGATGACCATGGTGCAACGTGCAGCTTCAAAAGTGGGACAGGTCTTTTGTGTACCCTCTTCTTGGGGATATTACTCACTACTTATGACTCAGCCTTGAGGAGAAGCTGACCATCATTCCAAGCCACCAGACTTGAAAAAAAACCCTGCACCTGCTGTTCTTATTTCTACATCTTGTCTTAAATCTGGCATGCAGGGATCAGAAATGGGGATATATTCTTAAGATGCTGACTTCAGCCTGGTGAAACTTGTTGCCGTGAACTCCCTCTAAGCCCATTATGGGGAAGCAGGTTTCTCCAGAAATAATTCAGTATGAGAAAGTAGAGCTCCTGTTTTTTTTTTTTTTTTTTTTTTTTTTCCCCTGTTGACTACAGAGTGAGGGAGAAGGAGAAACCTTGTAAGGCAACCCAGTGTGACCACACTGAGTCATGTTAAACTTGAGATGTGTGTCCTGAAGGTGCAAGTCACAGTGAGGCTCCTCTTTAGTAGCTGTCAGAAGCATCTATTTGAGTTGAGCCTTCAAGGCAATGTGTCATGACTCTCTCCTACAGAAATTTTGCAATGCAGTGCCATTTAGGGAAGATGGCAGTGACATGTGGCTATATGTGCCATTATGTGTCATTACTATCTAGTCACGCTTGGATGTATGTTACATTTCTGACTGTGATAGTCAGAACAAGGAGCGGGGTCTTTTGGAGGAGGATATTTGTTTGGAGACAAAGTGATTGACCTGTTCCTGTCATCTTCAGGATTTGGGAACACTAGCTTTGGGAGAGCCTTACAAGGTCCATCCCCTACGTGGAGTGGGGTCAGTCAGCTTAAATCACACTTGAGATGCTTCTCAAACTTCTGAAAAAGTCTTTCATTACCAAAGGATCTCCATGCAATCTATTGTAATGACTTAAATTCTTCACTATTACCATATATTTTGGGGATGTTCTGAGACTTCAACATTGCAATGTGACCAGAAAATTATATTTTCTGTTGTTTGGGTTTTTTTTACCTGGTCAGACTGGCTTTTAGAATATGTCTAAGCATGCAGACTCTCATATACTTTAATTAGAGGGATGCTTGTGATAATCAAACTCAGTGTGTCTTGAGCTGAGCACTCCAAACTGGTCACCTCATCTCTCTGTACCTCTCTTTCCCATTTGCCAGCTGGGGATGCCAGGGATAAATCTGGTGACTCTGTGACATGCTGAACAAACACTCCTCTTTACAGCTGGATGGATGTGACATTGGACGTGGATTTTCCAGGTCATTCAGGAAGTCTCTAACAAAATGCAGTACTGAACCCTGATTTCCCAACTCTTAGCCCAGTGATTAACCCTGTCTTTGCAGGATCTATTGAACCTTGTCAGCAAGTAGGAAGCAAACAAGAACCGAAAAAAAAGTGTGACATTGCCCTTTCCCATCTTCCGGTGATCTGAGGGTCTTGCTGATAGCTCAGCCATGAGAATAATTTTCTCAATTTAAAATGAAGCGTTAATACGTTTGGAGTTTCTTCCTCTCCACCCCCATCCTCCTTTGTCCAACTGTTTTGAAGAAAGACTTAATTGTGCCAAGCTTGCATGAGGAAAGCCAGGCTGTCCCCAAAACCAGCCTAGAGGCAGGCGCAGAGGGCAGGAGGACATGCCCTGCTCCCAGAGGGGGCTGGAGGGGGGGGAGCAGGACTCCCACTGCTGCTCTTGCTTTTCTCCCCCCAAGTCTGAGTGCAAAAACCAAATTATTCCATGAGCACAAATCTGCTTCGTTGAGCAAGTCACATTTCATTTGGGCAGAGAAGAAGCCAGGCTTAAAAAAGCTTACGAAACTTCCTTTGTTTGTACCTTATTAAGTTACATGGCTTTGTGCTTTCCGTCTGACTTGGATGCTGTTTTCTTTTCCCCCTCTTCTGAGTCTGTCTTCATGGAAGAATAGGAAGCAGCCTGAGATCAAAGATTTATTTGTTCTGTTGCTAGTTTACCCATGGCACATGCCAGTTTGTTGCAATTCAAAATTTGTCACAGTATTTACTGGCTTTGTGCCCAGTTGGTAGCTGGAGATAATGCACTGGAGCTGGCAGATACAGCACAAGTCAGAGGCATCATTTGTGAGGGGTGGAGAGGTCAGGATGTGGAGTGATTAAGGAGCATTGGGCCCATATCAGTAAGATGTAACTGCAGCCCCTTCTCTAATACAGTGGGGAGTAAGATGTGGACGTGCAGGGCTCATGTTGTCTGGCTGTGGACTTAATGAATTCCCCCTTCATCAGGGCTGGAGCACCCTAAATTCAGATATTTCAGATGCAGATTTAGCTCCATTTGGGATCCAGAAGCTGCATTTATTTTTTGCCTTCCTACTCATCACCTACATTCTCTAAGCTGGTCCTTGGCCTGGATGACCCATATGCCGTGGAAAAAAAGAGTTTTATTAGGTTACTCGTTCACATAATGGGTCTGTGTGGGGTTTGCTGAGAATATTTGGGTTTTCAGGGCTTTTGTTGTGGCACTGATATTTCAGAAGAGAGTGAGGAAAGGTGTCGAGCGAGAACTGTGTCTGCATTAAGCAGCTGGCTGATATTTCTCTGTTAGAAAGCATAAACATGAATCTGTTAAAGTTGATTTTTAAAGGAAAGCAGAACTGTATTTTGTCTGGGCTGATAGTGCTTCTTGATGTTAACTGCTGCTGCGCTGCCAGAGAGTGTTTGTCCTTAATGGTGGTTTCTGTTCTACATCAGAGAGTTTGTTGGTCACGGGGCTGATCTCCAGATCTCCATTTCCTTCAGGCCCAGTGCTCAAAGCAGAGCATGGGAGACCCTGTGCTAAGCAGTGCAGGGTTTGCCTTTCAGGAATGCTTCCTCCTGTACGCCTGGGAAAAAAAGACGATAAGCTGCAGCCAGATGAGATGCTTCCTTTTGAGTCCTACAAAATTGTGGTCTTCAGGTAATGCTCATCCTGTCAATCTTACAGTCTTGCTTTTGAGAAAAAACCTGCAGCTCAGATTTCCCTAAGCAAACTTTCAATGTTACTGGAAAAAGTTGCTGTTTTTAAAGGCTATCTCATGCCTTTACTTCTCTGACTATTGCTAGCAGAATGCCAGATCTCTGTTACAGAGGATTTCCACATTTCTCTGTCACTTCTGTCTTATCTCACTTCTCAAAGTATATAAATTCAAAGCTTACTCTGCATAGTTCTGCTGCAACAGCAGATTACAAATGCATCCGTGATATGGAAGGAATGTGATAATTTACTTATTTGTTAATAGCATCTTGTCTCCTAGGATCTTAAAGTGCTTTTAAAACTTCAGTCAGACTGAATCTCCTTGTTCCTTGTTGCTTTTATTCAAAGGCAAGGACAACTGAGGCTCTGTGGGTGGAATTTATCTCTGTTTGGAGACACTGTGGTACTTGGTCAGGTGCCTGTGTTCCTAGTTTGAGAAACACTGAGTACCTGCAGATCTAGCGAATTTTGGAAGAGACCTGTTTTCTGAGCAACACTGGAAAATGGTGTTTAAGTCTCTGAATACATGTCAGGTGCTTGAGGTCACAAATGTTGGCTGGGATGACATCCCCATCCTGTGATGGTGGATCTGTGGGTGAGCCAAGACGGGAACACACAGTAATGCTGGAGCCCCTTCTGAGATCCGTCCCACAAGGTGTTTTGTGGGGTTCATACAGAGTTTTCCCTCCTTCACCCTAGCTTGCACCATCTTGAAATGGTCCCCATCCTTGTGCAGGGCCAGGACTTCTCAGGTCAAGGGCAGACCAAGGAGCCTAGCCATGGTTGATTCTTAATCTTTTAAATGCCAGATCCATACCCGCTGCCCAGTGTGGTTTGCCTCCAGACAGCAGCTGACAGATCACACCATGTCTGATCCACCCTGAGATTTGGGAGCCGCATCGTTGTCCTGACTCCTACCCTGGTAAATCTGCTCCATTAATAGCTATCAAAGAGCCTGAAGTTTCCATCCGAACTTCATCTGGCTTTGCAGCAAGCTGGAGGATTAAACACCATCGCAAGGGAAGGGAGGAGCAGCCGTGGCTCACCCGGAATAGCCTGACCTATGACGGCACGTACCAGGCTGGGGAGGGGAGTTGTCCTGTGAGCTCACGGGTTATTAGCAGTGAGCACAGACATGCCTGTGGTCAGCAGCACACCCAGGGCCATCTGCTTCCTCCCTGGATGGTTTAGGGGGTCCAGAGGAATTTGTTGGTACAGCTTGCCTCTAGCAGGGCTCTTTGATGGGAGAGCTGGGAGCAGGCTTGAGGTCCAGCCTTGTGGAGCCATTGTTTTATGCTGCTCAAAATACTTCATGGTTTGACCTCTGGGCTGTTTGTGTGGGGCAGATCTGGTTTTAGGGGAGAGTGGTATGAGAAGATAACTCCTGCCCTGCTGCAGCCCAGGGCGGTTGTCTCTCTGCTGTGTCATAGCAAGTGTTGAAGGGAAGAGAGTGGGCTGTATGGCCAGGACTTGCCTATAGGGCCAGCAGGTGTGGGGCACAAGTCTTCATCTGCCTGCCAGATGGGGGAAGAGCATAGGAAGCAAGAGGAGGTTTTGAGGTGTAGCCAGGTATTCACTTCTCACAGCTTCTCTCGTGCAGCTGTTTTTGTTTTCCTTGCCTAGTTCCTCTGCTGGCATCCCTAAGTCCTCTGTTTCACCTGTCCCATGTCACCACTGTAGAAAAATGCAGTGTTTCTTGTTATTTCCACCTCCCTCATTCAAAGCTGCTCCTCAGCTGAGCATCGCTGTTGCAAGATCTTCCCAGCTGTCTGGACGACCCCAGACTCAGTGTACTTGTCTCCAAAGGAGCAGTGGTACTGAAGATTTATTTCTTGGACATGTGGGAAGCAGGAGCACAGCCACCACCATGAATAGTCTGTGGGTGCTGCTCAGTGTTTTACACCAGGAAGCACTGAGGCTGTTCTAAACATTTGACCCCGGCAACATACTCCAGATTCCTCCCGGTTAAACGGCCTCCTTCCCTCCCCTCCAGGACTGAAAGCATTTTGTCTCCTGACTACCCAGCCCCATAAAAAGCTCCTTTTTATCCCCCACAATTCTGTTGATCTACACATGGGGAACATCATTGTGCTTTGGAATTTGCAGCTTGTGTACTTTATCATTGTTGGTGATGAGTGCTACTGGCATGATGGCTAATTGGACATCTAGGAAGCCACCCAGCCGGTGGTAAATCTATGCTCCTTGGGTCTGTTAGCCTAGGGGTACAGTTGAACACAGGGCCTTTGAGCAGCATCCTTTCTGGAAGATGTTCACCATACCACCTGATGAGAAAGATGAGGCAGTACTGAATCCTCCTCTCCTGCTGCCATCGCAGAGAAATGCGTCGCCTCAGCAGCAGTGTTGCTGTGGGATGTGCTCCCCTTCACTGGAGCAGATGAGCAAAGGAGGCACCAGCGGCTGCTCTACAGGACTCTGCCTCTCCAGCTGATATTGCTGCTTCTGCTCTCCAACAAACTCTTACGGGGTTGAGAAGAAGGAGGGAATGTTTGTGCTGTCTACATCCTGCTGCATAGACAGGTTTACCGAGCGTGTTAGGCCCTGTTTGCTGCTGTTATCTGAGCTGTAGAAAGTTGTGCTTCTAACTCTGGAGGTTTTTGGTTCAGCCCTTGGTCACAAAGAGGGCAGTGTTCGACTGTATGTGTCCTTTCCCTGCCTTTTGCTGACAGTTGAATACCTCAGTGATACCTGGAGGTACAGAGAGGCTGTTGAACAGAGGGATAATGAAAAGCAGTGATTCCCTCCCAGACATTCAGCACCCAGCCTAAACAAGGGGACTTAGGAGCTGGAGGCTGAATGACTGCACTGATTTGTTGTGGCAAGTGCTAGTCAGTTATGGTGGTCAGGGGTGAGCTGGGAGTATGAGTGCTTATATGAGGAAGGGGGGAACTGAGATTAGACAAATAGATGGAACACAAATGTCCTTCACCTTGGCTGTGTAAAAAGATGAGAGTAGACCAGTAGGTGCACTGGCGGTTGGACTAGATGATCATTGTAGGTCCTGTCCAACGGAAAATATTCTATTCTGTATCTTGTTGCATGGACCTTTCTCAATGCCATTTTGGGGACCAAACATGAAAGTCTGATCCGTGCTGTGCAGGGGAAAAATCTTCTTTACCTACTCTAAGAAGATAGCAAAGGGAGCTGGAAGAAGCTGGTTTGGGTGGCAGTCATTGCTATCTGGCAGTTCCTCAGAGTGGCTGCTCTGGGGACACTTGCTACTGGCCTTCCTTTAGACCTGATGGCAGTAACATGCAGCTGCTTTTCCATCTTGACCCTCATCTCCCCAAGAGGGGCTGAACATGATGGCTGAGATCTGTGGCTAAAGGACTGCTGTGTTGAGCAGAGCAAGAGAGACTTCAGCTTTTCAGTGCTTCCTGCCTCTTGGGCAGTCATGCTCTTGCCATCCAGGGCTCCCTTGCTTTTTGAAGTGTTTCCTCAGCACCCCTTTTAGCCCACTTCTGGCTCCCTAGAACCTCCTGTGACTGCAGACTGGCTGGATTTTTCTCTGTTTTTACTGGCCCTGCACGACCAAGTTTGTGGTTTTGGGGTTTTGGTTTGTTTTTTGGCATGGTCAAGTTTTATTTTCGATTAACAAAGATGATGCAACTGTGCTTAACCAGCTATAGTTTATATCCTTGTCTCCCTGCTGCTGGAATTGCTTGGGGCATGATAAATAACTGCTGCCCTCCTCCACAGCTGCGGTTTGCCCAGTCTTCTTGTGAGGAACTACTTTCCTGCCCAGAAAATGAAATGCTTTGTTCAAAGGCTGGGAGCGATCCACTTAGCTGCACAGAGAGGTCATTAAGAGAGAAGGGTGATAAGGAAAGTAGTCTGATAAGGATTTTTTTACAGGCTGTGGGGAGCTGTGCTGTGAAGGGAGGTGGTGAGAGGAACGGCACTTGCTGCTGTTGCTCTCGGATGTGACACAGACTGTCACCTAGATTTGTGGTGTAAGGTCCCCAGTTGCTCTCAACAGGCAGCTCCTGCCAAGCATGTGCATAGTGAAAAAGGTGGAAAGAACGTGGGACTTTGCTCCAGCTATCTTCTCTCTCTGAGGAGGTCGCTGCATGGCTTTCTGTGTTTGAGGACAGTCCCACTGTTCTGGGAGCAAAAAACCCACCCTGTCTGGACCAGAGAGTAGTGTTAAATCAGGGTAAGTGTAACTACACAAGGCAAGGCAAATTAGGGATGTGTTTTGTTTGGTGCTGGTCTAGCAGATAAATAACTTGGTTGCTATTGCCTTGTCTGCGAAAAGCATTAAACCAGTGAATGACAAACCTCTGTCATGCTCTTTGGTACAGCAAAGTATCAGAGGTCTGAGTTCATCCTGATTTGTCTGCAAATCCTTTTTCAAACTATGACTGGGTGGAGAAATATTCCAGAAATTCTGAGTGCAAGAATAAGGGAGACTTTTAAAAATTTTGTTTCTTTCAGCCTCACAAGCAAAACCTTGAGTCTGTTTCTTTGTCTCTGCTTTGCTATATCTGTGTTTCAAGTCTCCTATATTTTTTCTTTCTTTCTGCAGGTCCTTCAGAAGCTTGGGAAAGCAGATGAAACAAAAGATGAGCAGTTCGAACAGTGTGTGCAGAACTTCAACAAACAGCTGGTAAGATAATTGGTGATATGAAATTACAAGCTGGGGTTCAGAATTAGCTTCCAGTCCTCTTCTGCAATATGTAATTAAAGCCCATTAAATTAAATGATGCCACAGGCCTATTGAAGTGACCCACAACTTGTAGCTGTTCACTTACGAGAAGTTACAGTGTGTCTTCTAGGGTCCCTATCATGGAGTCAGTGAGAGTGTATGCTGAAAAATAATACTTGTTCTAGACCCAAGTTTAGGAAAAGGAGAAATAGCTCAGCCAGAACACTTCCTTCAGTTAGCAGCTGCTTTGTAATGTAATTTTTCCTGCTGGGCTGGAAGCAGAGACTTGAGAACAACACTGTGTCTCTGAAAGCTGGATAGAATGGGAAACTGGTTAGAAATCAAAAATAAAATGGAACAAGGCAGATTCTATTTCCGAAGCACAGCAAAGGAGACGAAGAAAGCGGATGGTGAAAAGAGAATATCCTTTCATTGCTAAAAACTAAATCTAACTTCCTCCCCATCCTTGCACAATTGCTCTGTCAGGCCTGAGTCATTTCTCTTTCACGTGTCTGCTTCATCCCTATATTTTAGCTCACAAAAATATTTTAACAGTGTAGCAATTTTCCCCCACCCTCCTACTTAAAGAATAGTAAGTTTATGTCTTGAACTGGGTGTGGTTTTTTTATCTGGAGCTTTCAGCCAGGGAGAGGAGGGGAAAACATCAGTTACCCCAGGGGATTCCCACCTTGGTGTTTCATATTAGGGGTAGTGTTGCTTCTGTTTCATGTCAGGAAATGTGTGCCACACCAAAGCTCAGGTGGTGCTGAGGAAATCTTTTAGCCTCTTTGTGCCCTGACATGTTTTGGACCTTTTTCTGGAGCTGTTAGCAGCAGCTGCATCGTGTCTGTTAAGACTCAGCAGATGTGATTCTGTGTTGCAAAACCAGCTGAGAAGGGATTTGCCACAGCTGAATATAATGAAAATCTTTCAGTCTGACTTGAACTTATGTCTAACCAGAGCAGACCGCAGATTCCTAGAGACTAATGCTCATTCTCTTGGCAGCAATAGTAGCTGTTGCTCCAGAAGTTCATGCAACATCTCTATAGCATGTCCACCAAAGATACTCCCTTGTACACAGAAGAATACGGTTTGGATTCTTTCTGATGATGTAATGTTACCAGGTGTGACTTTTCTGTATTAAGTATTGGCAATCAGGAAATAGCCTTTTTTAAGGAGAAATACTGAAAAACTCAAATCCGAACGTTTTGATCTGGCTGTCTGGGATGGCTTTTCAGTTTCCAAAGCCAAGAGTTCCAGTGGTGCACCAAGAAGCCTGTTAAAGATGCACTGCCTCTGTACCCCTTACAGATGAATTTCTTTTCCCATCTTGCAGGAGCAGGCCATGAACTAAATTCTCCAAATATTTTATCACAGGAGTTGGAAGATGCTCTGTGTTTGCTGTTTGGGGTCTATTGGTTTTGCTTTGGCCCTCAGTTTCCCTATTACTAAAATAAATGCAAACAATGCCTGTTTTACAGGGCAAACCATAAATATGAATTAGCTGGATTGGTAGGATATCCAAGGCTGAGGAGTTATTATGATGCCCCAAACAGACAGGGAAAAAACTTCAGCCATATGTGCATATATACACACTTGTTTTTTTGTATGTATGATTGTGTGAGATTTCTGTGGCCTTTCCTTACAAAGCCCACTGCAGTGGGAAATACAAGTCTGGAGGAAAGCTGATCTTTTGCTGCAGGCGTGTGACAGAACAGCTGTCCTGTGAAACTGACTGGGGTGTGACCAGGCAGTGGCCTTGTTTGATGCATTGATTGAAGGCTCATCTGACTCTAATGACAGTGTTGGGCCACGTTGACACAGGTTCCCATGTGTGGGCTGTCGATGAATGGAGAGCAGGTCTAAAAATCATTTATTTTCAACCAAAGCATCTTGTGGTTTTCCCAAATGGTGGTTGAGTGAACATAAGGGAAAGCTTTGTACTTTCCATCTCTCTGTCTGTTCAGGCTCATAGGAGAGCACTACTCTGAGGTCTCTGAGTGGTAGGAGCTTTTTCGCTCAAACAGATGGAGTTGCTGCGTGACAAATGAGGGGACATAATGATGCTTCTGCAGGGCTCCAGGGTTCCCCAGTGTCTCATCAAGGCTTGACAAGCAGCACAACTGGCCCCCACATTACTCACTCATGGCAGATTATCTTTGGCAATTAACCTCCCAAAAAGTTCATTCGAAGGCTCCCCTCGCCTTCCCTTTCCCACTGTCACTTGTGTTCAGGCACTGTCAGAAGGATCTGTCCTGGAAATTGTCCTTGCAGACCTGGGAACAAGAGACCTGCTGGAAAGGTGCAACACAGCCCCTGCCTGAGGCGTGCTAGGCTTTGGTTTCCCTTTCCCTGCATGTGAAATACTCACTGGAGCGACAGAGAGTGGGAGGCTGGTGGCAGCCCTTACACCTGGCACCACGCTGTGTTTCTGCCTGTCAGAGCGGCTGGGTTTTGATACCTTTCATGAGCTGTCACTCATGTGGAAGTTCTGGGTTGGTTTACAGTGTTTCACACCAAATGCATGAGAGGCAAACTGCTGCTGGCACGGGCTACATCCATCTCTGCCCGTACCCCGTGGTTTTCAGCACAGCCTCAGCCTGCAGAGCAGGCAGCATGGGCTCTTGCAGCGTGGGCTGGCTGTAGCCCATTACAGTCAGTAAGGGACTGACTCAGAGAGTGTCTTTATTTCCAGGCAAGAGCAGAACAAGTTCAACAGCTTACCTGGTACCTGGGGATGGGAGCATCTCATGCTTTGTGTCTTAACAGCTCTGAAGTTTTGCTGAGTGGGGGCTTATGTGGAGCTGTTATTTCAATGCTTCACCTTCTGCTTTAGAATTCAACAGTCTGCTCTTCCAGCACTATATTAATCTAATCTGGAACATGACATTACCTGCCTCTCTCTCATCTCTGCTGATAACAAAAATCCTTCCCATCAGAACTACAAAACAAGGGATGTTATGTAGGGAAGTGGTTTAATGTTAGGATGAAAGAATTTATTTCAAAGACTGGGGGAAAAGGGTTTTGGGAAATGAAGAAACTACTACCAAGAAACATGTCTATGGAAAATCACATACTGAGCTAGTAGTGATCAGTGAAAGGCATTGTAAATAACAACCCCCCAACAAAACTAGATAGCACAAAAAGAAACCAAACCACTCTTGTGTTTTTCTTTCACAGAGCTTTAAGTAATAGGTGGTTCATTAGGTCTTTGGAGAGAGCTCTTCCAGCCTCGCAAGCAGTAGCACTTCTATTTTTAAATATGCATCTTCCTGCACATACTGTCCTTCATATTATACCTGGTTGTCTTATGGGCTCACAGGGTTGAATTACACTGTGATTGCAAGTGTGGCAATTTCTGCTCAAACAAGACAACAGTTGTGTGTTTGAGGACAACAAACAACTTATTGTGGACACTTCTACATCAAGACACAGTGTCATTGTCCCTGTCTGAAGGTTTTAAGTCAGTTTGTTAGTGCAGGCATGGGAAATGAACATGGGGTTCAGAATCAGCAGTGATCTTCCATTTTTATCCTAGTTTTACTTTTCTTTTGTGGAGTTTTGTTACTCTGATATATGTACACACACTATTCTTTCTTTAAATTCTTGCAATTTAAAAAGTACTGTGCTATTAGATTTTTGAATGTCTTTAGATTCAAACATACTTCTATAAATTCCCCCTGGACACCCTTAAACCTACTTTCATAACTGGGAAGTGGATTAATTTTCCAGATTCCAGTTTAACTCTCTTCCCTACTTCTTTACCTCTCAGTTTGGGAAGCATCTCTTAAATGTGCACTCAAAGGTGTTGAAAGCTTCTGTTCTATACTGTATTTGACAGTGTCTAACTACGTTGCGAGAGTTTTTTATGCAGAATCATGTCTGTACTTGACAGCTCGAAAAAATCCTGCTTGAAGAAAGGTGCTGCATGCACAGAGAGAAAGCAGTTGCCAAAGTTCCTTGGGAAAGCATTAATGCTTAAAATAATAAAAAGAAACCCTTAGAGCAAGTTAGGGAACTGCTTTACTGGTGGACAAGAAATAAAGCAATGGAAATGCCAAAGAGGAATTTGGATGGGAACCCCATGTGCCCAGGGGAGCAGCGGAAACAGGATTCATGGCAAAATTCTGAACATGGACCTCTCTTTGAAAATCTTTCTGCCTGCAGATCTTACAGGCTGTAAAATTTCTTCACTCTCTCTGGCAGGCTCAGAATTTTTAAGAGGTTTAGGTAATCCCATAGTCATGGAGATTAGCTGTAACTCTGACTTTAAACATCAGCAAGAAGTGACTAAGAAAGACCACTCCAGCTGCAGGATGCAGTACTGCATATTGGCTGATATTGTGGCAAGGCAAGTGGTTTTGAGGATGGTTGGAGAACACAGAAGGCTAGTTGTGCATTGCTGCAATTGCACGCTCCAGTGTTCTGTCCCTGACTTGCAGGCTTTTCAGGTGGTCTAGCTAAAAAAAAAAATAATCTTGGTTTGATGTTTAATTATGATTGTGATGCTGGTGTACCTCCCAGAGGATCCTTTTGTCCCCTTGACTTTGGAACTGGGTATTGAGACCTGAAGAGTTCGTGAGTTTGGGTTCTGTCGTGTGCTGCTGTGGCAGGACTCAGGCAAGTATGGGCACAATTTTAGAGTTGGTTTCTGATTTTAGATGCTGTAATTTTGCGAGTTAGAATTCTAGACATTGCAAGGCCCATGTGTGCAGGTGGGCAAGTTCTGCAGAGGACCTTCCCTGCTGATTAGATTCTGATAATGTCAAAGTTCTGTGTTCAAATTTAATAATTCTTAAATATGATGCAGTTGCAGGATGATAATGTATCCATCTGAGGGATTTTGCATGATAGTTTCTTCTGTGCCATTTCCTTTTGTGTTCTGACATCTCGTCTTGCCAGTTCCAGTCTGTGATTCTAGCATGGACCAATTCTAGGAAGACAATGTTGCTTTCCTCCAAGCCTTTCTTGCTTCCTGCATTGTGCGCAAGAAAACACATGTTACAGCTTGATTGAACTGCTGTTTGTCAGCTCGGCCTCCCTGATGGTCCTGTGTGTGTGTGCTCTTCAGTTACTCTGGCACCTCTTCCCTGGTGGTTTCTGATTGCACTGTTAGGAAAGTCTCCTCTGCCCAGGTTCCCACATTCACCTTAAGCCAGCAAAAAGCTCCACATCTGTGCTGTGTTTTAAGAATTCCTAGGACTTTTGTGGCAGATGTGGTGTTATTCCTTTCCTCTTGTACTCTCTTTGGGTCAGTTCCCAATGTCTCCCCAGACTAGGAGTCTGACTTTCTTTTATATAAAAAAATCACACCCCTCGTTTCCTTTGTTGATGGAAGTAGAAAAAGAACAAATGTGAACTCATACAGAACTTTCGAGGCAAAGAAAACAAATTGGGCCATAGTGTTGGAAGCAGATGGATTTTTCCACGAAGCTATGCTAGCACTGCCACTTCAACAGCTGGGCAGATTTAGCCTCCGCTTAGAGAGTGCAGCTGCACTGAGAGCACAAGGGATCACAGCCTGAGCTGAGGCAAGAGGTGCCTGGGTTGTGGGGGGGGCTGATGAGAAACATCTGCTTTTGAAGTTGGTAGCTCTGAGGCAGCTGTCAGAGATGTCCTATGAGCTCCCTGTCTCTGGAGTTCTCTTCAGCTGTCAAAATTCATTATGCTGGGGGCCCCCTGCAATGGGACACAAACTGGGGAAAAAAGGGCAGGAATGGCAGCAGGCGGGGAGGGAGGTGTGAGGTGTAGTTATCGCTTTCCTGTATTGTTTTTACAGCTACTTTGAGGGATAGTGAGGATCTAGTGAGATCCCACAGGGTAGGGGAAATCCTTTTATAACAGAGATCTTTGCCTCTCAAACTTTCTTCTGTACTTCTTGCAGTATGGGATGTGCATAGATGTCTGCATAGGTGTCCTCAATGTTTGATGCTTTGACGTGTTCTGTGGCAGTGTTGGTCAACTTCTCAAGCCTTGCTTTTCTCTTGCTTTTGTTTCTGTTTGTATAATGTCAGGGTTTGGATTTGGGAGTATTTCCCTGTCTGCTTTGCACACTGTCAATGACACATGGCAAAGGAGAGGGGAGGTGGGCATGAGTACACTTATCCTAGTGTAGAAGAGCAGTTGTATGGGGAATGCATGTATGTGTGCATGTCTGAACCAACTTTTCTGTAGAAATCTCCATGACCCTTTCTAATCTGAGTTCTTTTACTGCACTTGCCTGCGTCATCTTGAAGGTCAAACTGGCAAAACTCAGCCCAGCTTGGTGTTTTAATCCTTTGTTTCCTAGTGAGTGAGATCTGCTGATGGCAGGCCACCTCCACACTGAAACTAAAGAAAAAGGTTATTAATTCTGTATTTGCAAGTCCTGCTACACAGGACAATTTAGACAGGATGTTTAGGCAGGTCAGAGATCCCTTGTACCCACTTTGTACTGGGATTTTGGTTTGCAGTGTGGCAGGAAAAAATGGTGAGCTGATCTGTTCCCAAACCAGTACAAAATAAATGAATTGTGTCTGATCTATATCTTACAGACTCTCTTCAGTTACATTTGTTGCATGGACCCACTAGCCCTTGGCTTATAAACTAATTATTGCCCTGAGGACCCTCTCTGGTTGCTTGTATGAAATCAAAATACTAAAACTGGCTCTGCTGGGAAGAGCAAAACACAAATTTACCCATGTCAGGTTCCTTGGTACCTTGGTGGTGTTGTTGGCCAAACATGCCTGCAGGTCACTGGCTGTGGGCTTACCCAGAGGGCTGTGTGGTCTCGCTGTTAATATTTGTGTTTTGTATGATCATGTGGTTGGTACGTAGCCCATCTGCAAGACCATTTTTCTTTATTTAGAAATGCTTGACTCCTCCTTCTTACACACTCTTTGTATGGGAGAGTAACTGATGGTCTTCTGCTTACATTCACAGTCTGAAGGCACGAGGCTACAGAAGGATCTCCGAACTTACTTGGCTTCTGTAAAAGGTAAGGTCTACATAAGCAGAGAATTGTTTCCCTTCTAGTGCTTATCTACACAGTGAGGTTTCTGTAGCCTTCCCCTTCCTGTGTTTCCTATCCTCAGGTGTGAGTTGTAGGTAAGGTCAGCCTTGTCTGGGCAGGGGATCTTTCAGAATCCTTAGGACCAGCTGTGATTGAATGGGGTTGTGCTTTGATACCAAACGGGTGGTGCTGTCTTAGCAGATAGACTCTTATATCTTCTGCTATGGGAGGATGAACACAAAGAGCTTGATGCGACTGCATCCTCAGTTTCTTTCTTCTTCTGGTTACCTTCCATTTTTTGTGTTATCAAGGGTCAGGCATTCTATAAGGAACAGCTTAGCATTTATTATAACCCTTTCAATACCTCCTGTGTCCCCATTCCTCTGGGTGAGGGTTAAACAGTGAGGAATGCACTACTTCCCTCTTTCTGAAGCAGTTCCCTCTTCTTTCCTAGCCATGCATGAGGCCTCCAAGAAGCTGACAGAGTGTTTGCAGGAAGTTTATGAGCCGGATTGGCCTGGGAGAGATGACACAAATAAAATAGCAGAGGTAAGACTGTGTCCAGGATGTGGGGTCACCAAGCTTGGTGTGTCAGCAGAGATGAGCTTTGGAAGCTATGTCTGCGTGCCACGTTCCTTCAGGCAAATGGCTTCGCAGAAGAATTGGAGAGACAAACTCGGTGTTGGGAAGAAAGAAAAGCTGAGCAGATGTGGCCTGTATTTTTGTCTGTGTAGGGCACTGTCCCCAGATGCTTGAATGCTACAGAGCCATATGCCCACAAGCAATTTGTTCCCCCAACAGTGGCTAAACAGGGACAGAGGATGCCAAAAGAGAGTCGGTAGGGTCAACTAGGTGTATTGGTTACACTCTGTGCAAGAAAAAGGAGAAGCTAAATCTACGGCCGAAGCATGGCTGTGTGGCTGCAGCAACCTCCCACTCACAGCAGGACCATCAGCTGCTGTATTTTGGCTGCCACCTTCTTTGTCTGAGCCATGTGTCACCCCAACCTGCTGTTCTTCTCATCTCTTGGTGAGGTGATGCCTGTCCAACTTGCCCAGGTGTTTTCTATGGAGCTTAGGGCACAGCCTGTCACTTGACAGCTTGGATCCCCCTTGGCGTGTGTGTGGTGGGTCCAGCTGGAGGCAGGCACCCTCTGCTCTCTTGCTCAGCTGTTCTGCTGAGCAGCAGCTGTGGCAGTTCAGCTCTTTGGATCCATCTGCCATGAGGCTGCAGGGCTGGGCTTATCTGCAGCTGTCTGTGGCATTGGAGCAGTGGGGAAGGAACAGAGAGAAGAGCAGAAGTATTCTTCCCTTCCCCTGCTTTCCCCTGCAGAAAATCTTACCTGAAATAACATCTGCATCTTGCCCAGGAAATACTGTCTTCAAAGCAGATAAATCAAACAAAACCTGAACATTTCCAGGTCAGTTCTTGCATTAACATGGAGACCTTCCATTATGAAGCACTGTTGCAGTAAATAATGGAGTTGTAATTCAGCTAGTTTGGCTTCATGTTCTCTGGCCTTTTTTCTCTTCCTGAGGTACTGTGGGTGCTTCCTGGGAGACTGTCTCTTCAGAGAATTTGAGCCACATGAAAGGGAGCATGAGTCCTGAGAACCACCTGTAGCTGTATTGCCAGCCTTCTGCCTTCCCCTTTAATGCCTTTGTTTATGTTTCTGTCTTTCAGGAAAAGACAGGCAGGAGAAAAGCGCTACTCCTGGCCAAAAAAAAAAAAAAAATAAAAAATTCCCACATAAAGTAGACAATTTTCCTGAATATTTTAGCCAAAACCCTTAATTCCAGTGGAAGAAACAGGAGAGGGAGGCAATTTCCACCTAATCCAAGGTGTTGATGGGAAGTTACTGAACCTAAGATAAGATCAAGAATGAAGCCTGCACAGGTTGTGGTGCGAGCCTTGGATGTGACCTCCATTGGGCTGTGGAGGCAGGTGGTGTGAGGACTGAAGACTGATGGAATAGCTTTCTGTTATTGTTCATTATCCTCCAGGAAGCTGTGTTGTAATGAAGAGCAGAAAGTGGTGCCTAATGGCATCAGGTGTCCCATTTTTGTGCCTGCTGGGAGAGGGAGGTAAAGACAGCCTAACCTTTACCTTCCTTTCTGTTGTATAGACTTGGGCTAGCACTGCAGGGGAAAAAGCCTGTCCCTCAAAGGAAAGTTCACAAAGGGCTCTGTGTCCTTGGAGAGGTCACCTGAATTAGCAACATTAAGATTTCTTCTCTGTTTCTACATTTCTGGCATGACGTCTGTTTTCAACTGACTTCTATGCTCCTTAGTTTTTCCAAGAAATGACTATTTCTTAAGACCTCTGGGGGACTGAAATTGTTGACTGTAGCACTCATAGAGAAAAATAGAAATGCAGAGCTCTGTGTTCTTACTAGTTAGCTTATTACTTTTGTTTTTCAGAACAATGATCTCCTCTGGACGGATTTCCATCAGAAGCTGGTGGATCAGGCACTTCTCACCATGGATACATACCTTGGCCAATTTCCAGATATTAAAGTAAAGTTCTCTTTAAGTTTAAACCTTTTATTCTGCAGAGTCACAGCAGATGAAACTTCGTAAGAGTCAATTTCTTGCATCCCCATCTTCTTTATGAGGATGTGTGTGCTGTGCTGCTGCATGCCCTGCTTTTAGAGCAGCCAAGAACTTTGCAGCTCTGGGTCATGTGAAAATGTTATGTTCTCCTTGGGGCTTGAAATGAGTGTGAAGAATCCAGGGGAATGATGCTGAAGAGAAAACGTAAGTGAAAAACAGGAGGATCCACTGCTGGAGGGCGGTGTCAGCAGTGACTCACAAACTCTCATCCTCTCTTTTTGGTACTTTGGTTTTTTAACTTCCTTGTAAATACGAAGCATTGAGGAAGCAGTTAGTGGCAAATGTGCTTTATAGGTAGAGGCTGGTGTGGAAGGCAGATTTGTTTTCCCTGAAGTCCTATTGTACATATAACTGGCTTGTTGTAGGGGAGGGGGAGTGCTCGATAGACGTCTTTTTGGGGGAGATTGTATCCAAGGACCTGAGTTTGAATGTCCTGTGAGCTTCCCTTCCCCCATAGTTATCTCCTCTCCATTAATTTTGAGAAGGTTATGCAGGAAATGTCTTAACCATATGGAAGCGCTAGTAATGGTATCACCATATGGGAAATATCAGCTTGGCCACTTCCCAGTGAAAACAACCCTTTCCCCACCACGTGTCTCTTAAAACGTTGTGTCAATATTTGTTGCTTCAAGAGGATCATGCTGTATCAAAGAGGGGCAGGTCACAGGCTTGTAAAATGGGCCCTGAACAGCAATGTCCTTGCCTCCTGGGCTCCTTCTTTTTGCTTCGTTTTTCCAGCCTCTTCTGTTCCTGGAAGTCTGAAGTGGGGAAGGGCGAAGATGCTTGCTGTTGTTTTCCCACCCGCTGAAGGCTGTAGAGCTGATTGTTCCCTGTAGCGTGTTGCGATGTTGCCTCAGTTAGCAGTGCAGACGCTTGTGCACTGCTTCCTAAGCAGAAGGTTTTATTTCAGGCTTGCTTTAGGCTCAGAGTTTTCTGCACTTCTTCAGTCTAAATCCCATTTTACCGGCCTTGTTGGCTGTGCACTGGGTCACCTTGGAGTGTCATATTTCTTCCATGCTTAGTAGCTTTGAGATTTCTTAATTCTGCTGAGGTCCCACTGAGGTTTTATAGTGGGATTGTAAAAGGAGCTCAAGACTGGGACCACCCACATTCTGCCAAAACTTAAAGTGTTAGGCACTGAGCTCCCATGGATCCTTTCTGATTTCTGTAAGGGCCGTTAAAGTGTTTATTACTGATGTCCCTTTCTCGGTCTTCAGATGATGCTTTAGAATATGGGAAGGTAAAGCAATTTTATGCACAATTTAAGTCATGCTTCAAAGAGAGCACTACTCACCTCTGCTTCCCTTTCTAAAATGAGGGAGAATTTGGCTTTGTGTTGATTTCTACAATGAGATACAGATATATTTCACAGAGTTGGCCATTTGTTTAAAATGGACTTTCAGTGGTATGAATTTAAAAAGGTCAGTGTCTTTTTCTTGGTAATTCACCTGGATGCATTATCCTCCTTACCCTGGAGTAGTGACAAGTGCTCAAATCGAAAATCAAGTCTGATTTCTTTGACTGGTAGAAACTCTTACAAGTATTGTTATTGAAGGTTGCTAGAGTTGTACAAAAGTGTAGTTTGACTTCACATAAATAATTAGCGCTCTTGAGGGTGGCAGGCAAAAAAACCCCAGTCTTACATAATTTACATCTCTTAAATCCATAATCCGGCCATGTGTTTTATCTGCTATGAGTGGAAGATGCATTAGCTAGCATCTCAGAAATTGTCATACCACTGGAATCCCCCTCTGACATCCTGTCTTCATGCTGGGGAGGTGTCTTCTAGTGACCTCAGCTGCAAGGTGGCTCAGCTTCTTCACGATTCCTCTCCTGGAGTGAGCTGAGTGCTTTGTAATCAGTTTGGGTGTGCGTGTGTCTGAGATCCTGCAGATCTGCTGTGACTCACACAGAGCTGAACCAGTGTTTGCTCAAAGTGCAGAGGAGCATGTGTGGGAGACGTGTGAGCTGATCCCAGCTGCTCTGGCAGAAAGATCAGCCCTGAGTGGGGTTTTCTAGCTTTTCTGCAGGAGCCTAGGGAGAGGAGACCACGTCTCCCTGCCAACCGCAGCAAAGGCAGTGGATTTTGCTTTTCCAAGTAAATCCCAATGCTGGTCCTTGATCTTGCACTTTCAATTTCCATGGGTGCTGTGGTGAATTAGAAACCCTCCTGGTTCCTTGCTGTACCTCTTCACTCCGGTTCTCCAGCCTGTCTCTAGGCTGCTGGTCGCTGACACTGGACCAGGCTCTCTGAGCCAGGCTGGTGCTCGGGTTGGGCTGGGAAGACCAGTGCTCCAACCCAGATAGTCTGGGGTGTTTGTAAAAAGAGCATGGGGGCGAGGGTCTCGGGGGGGATAGATGGTTCTTGAAACAGGGCAGCCCAGTGGGCCTAAGCCTTGCTGAGATGAAACTGCTGCAGGAGAGAGCCTGAGGCACCTCGGATGAAGAAGGGTGATGGAGAATTGGGCCACAGGCCTGGCTGTCTGTTCTGGGTTCTCACCTGTGTACAGGACTCCATTCCTGAACATGTGTCTGGTACATAGTTGGCTCCCTCCTTGTGTTTGTTACAGCTTCAGTGTGCCTTGCCTGTTAGTGACACTGGTACAGGTTTTCCCTTGCACTCCTCTTGCTTAATAGCTCGTTACAAGGGACCACTGACTGTGACTGCGGTTGCTTCTGTCTGGATCTCCTGTTGCAGGGTCCAAAATACTCAGGCATATCCTGAGCGTGTCGATGAGTGCTTTTGCTGTGGTGGCAGCTGAAATGTCTTCTTTAGTTGAACTTAATCTTTTGAGCTTTCACACAAACTGGGGCTACAAGCTGGTTAGAGTCTGGCTGCAGCCCTCAGGAGGCCCTGAAAATGATGAAGCAGGTGCCTGTAGGATACAGGCACAGGGGAAGGCTTAGGAAGCACCAGAGCTACAGTTCTGAAAACATTAATGTCATCCAGAGGTGGGGCCTGCTCTTGGCTGGATCAGTTTGCTTTCCCTGGCTGGGTCTGCCCTCCTCCTGAGGAGCTCTCTCCACAACGGTGGTTGTCACAGGTGGCTCCCAGGGCCACCTCTCTGGGCAGCCTGCGTGGAGTATACAGCAAGTGCCCTGGTGTGGGCAGAGCATGGGGTACTCTGGAAGTTGGGTAAGAGGAGGGGGGTCTTCTTGAGAGACTTTGTGGTTTTGGCTGCTGGGGAAGATTGTCACAATTCTTTTCTCTATCTTTCTTAGTCTCGTATAGCGAAGCGAGGAAGGAAGCTTGTGGATTATGACAGTGCCAGACACCACTTTGAAGCCCTGCAAACTGCAAAGAAGAAGGACGAAACAAAAATCGCAAAGGTAAAGCAAGTAGAAGGATGTGCAGCAGCCATCCTTTCATTTTGGGAGGTCTGAATTTCCCCCTTGAGCAGGTTTTAAGTGCACCTGTAGCTCTTCGCTGGGCGCATTTTGTTCAGAGAGATGTCAGAAACTGGTGAATTTTTGCTGAGTAGTTCCTTCTCACCTGTTTCGTTCTCCTAGAAGGCAGGATGGTCTCTATTGTGTTGGTTCAGACCCACTATCATCAGTGAGCATCTCTAGGTGGCCAAGGCCTAGGCATGCATTTTGTCATAAGCTGCAGGACCAGTAACCTCTGTCAGGAGAACCTGTGTGCCTCTGAGGGAAGCAGAGCCTTGCAGTGCCCAAGCAAAATTTGCCAGTTTGTCTGCTTCTTGGGGCTCTGTCTCCCCATCTTATAGCAGTGGTGAGAGTAAGTGTTTGAGTGTTGCTTGAGGTTGGTTGTGTTTGTGAAGTCCTCTGATATTCTGAGATGGACACCCCTAGGTGTGTGAATTACGAGTTCATTGGTGGAAATGCACTCTGGGCACACCTGGTGACTGTGTTCTGTTGTGTGTTGGCCACAATTATTGAACACTAAAAATGTCTGAAAGCAGGAAAGCATGAGTTTTCTCTTGTCAGGATGTGATTTCTTTCATGCAGGTGAAGAGCTGGATCTAGGGCTAACCCTAGAGCCTGCCCAACATGCAAGTGTGGAATTTTTTTTAAAATTAAAATAAATTTTATTAAAAATACATTTATGTTTTCTTTTAAATGTAGGTGAAGAAAGGTGATAGTGCTAACCTTGTTCTAGAGGAGGCATGTTGTTTGAATACCTGCCCAGAAAATGAGCTGTGGATTACTCCTGTACCCTGAGTGGGTTTGAACCCACGTGCTCCACTCCGCAGGACAGATCTTGACACAACAGAACAGTCCAGAGCTGGGGCCATGGCACATCAGGGCTCTTCAGGCTAGAAACAGTGCAGGAAAGAAATAGCCTGGATCTGTAATTTTAACCAGGCTGAGAAGAGTTGTCATCCATTGCTTAGAGTTATTTCTGTTGGGGGGAAATATGGGCTATGTAAGACATGCCAGTGTTTCTCCTACATGGAAGAAATAAAGATGCACCTCTCTCCCGAGCAAAAGATCTGCATTTAGTGGCCAACTGACAGTACTTTTATTTTTAAGCTGCACGTCATCAGTCATCTGCTCACCCAGTGCACAAACTGTGATTAACCCTGACAGACAAAGGGGAGAGAGATTGATGGCTCAGGTGTCATTTGTGTGGCCAAGCAAGGCTTGGTTCTCTATGCAAGGCATGAGGCCGAGCTGATTGTGCCTTCTGTTCAAAGCAGTACTTTGCTGTGTTTGGGGGTAAGAGCAGAATTTCCCCAGGGCATGGTGGTATTGCTGGTGTGTGCCTGTGGGATCTTTGCTGCAGTGGAAATGGTTTTTGTAGGAATGAATCTACTCAGGTTGGTACCTGGTGATCTGCACCAAAGAGGCTGCACTTGCTTGTGTTGCCCGGAATGCTCACTTAAGAAGTTATTAACAAGGGATTATTTGTTGCTCCTTTGTTAAAGGGTGAAGAACAGTGCAGTTTGAAGAGTGAAACGTTGAGACTTAGGAGTTGGTGCTCTGTTTGTGATTCAGCCTGTGCAAGTGTCTCTTATTACTTGATCAAGAGTCTTCTCATTAGCCAAAATGTGCACTGGGTCAGATCTTTCCACCCTCTGTGCTTTAGGCCATAAGCTCATGCATGGGATAATAGTGACAATTTCCACTGTTCTAATCCTGTAAAAGTGGGAGCAGTGAGTCTCTGAAAGTTGTGTATGTATGCTCTTCCCAAATGGGCAGGTTTCACAGCCCAGCCTGTGATCCCACATTTGCAGTCTCACAGCTCTACAGGGCTGTGGGCAGCAGCCAGGGCCCAGCATGCAGTAGGCTAATGTAGGAAGTTCACCTCTCCCTTACTGTGACTGTGGTTTTGCTTGCGTGACCTGTGGAGTAGAGTTGGTCCAGTCTAAGGTACTTTGGAACATGATGACAGGCTCCTAGGAAAGAGAAATCCTATTTGTGACACAGCGTACAAATGGGAACTGACTTGATTGATGTTTCATGGTACAGTAACAGAAAGAGCAATGCAAATACTTACTGGAGCTGTATAGTCTCTTTTTTTCTTCTCTAATGTGGATGTTCTTTTCCCTCCCAGGACTCCTGCCACTTACTGATAAACTCACAACCTGCCATTAAAATAAAGCACTGTGGACTTTCAGCTGTTGCATGCAAATAATTACAATGGTTAATTAATCCTGACCTCTCTTTAAGGAGCTCCCACTTTACAGCCATGACTTGGAGTAGGGTTGTCTGTGTGCTAGGTCACTAACAGCTGTATCTGTTGCTCTTTGCAGCTGCCTGGCTGGTCTGCAGTATCCGAGCCCATACTGGAGCATTAATTACTGCTAAACTTGGCATGCTTCAAAGGATTCATAACTGATCGGTCTGGGGATGTTTGTTTTTCCTCTCGCCTTGGTGATACTGGTTTGGCCCAGCCTCTAAATACACTCTCTGTTGTGATTTTAATTTTTTTGTCCTAAAAGATATATGTTTGTGTCTCTCTTGTTCTCTTTTTTTTCTCTTTTCACTCAAACATGCTCCCTCCCCCCAGCCTGTTTCACTGCTTGAGAAAGCTGCGCCTCAGTGGTGTCAAGGGAAGCTACAAGCTCACCTCGTTGCTCAAACTAATCTGCTCCGAAATCAGGTGACTGCTGATCTACCTGGCTCTAACCCTGCATGTGCTATTTTGGGCTCTAGATTGTACCATGCAACTAATCTCTAGGCAACGTTCACTCTAGTCCCCTCTGTTAAGTGTGTCCCTGATATTCCTGAGCCACAGTGGGAATGTGGATGTTGCTGACCAATGAATGATTCTGTGCCTGACCTATTGATTTCTAATCAGTTGTGTTAATGTGTTAATGCTGAACTATTGTTTTCTCCCTAAAATGAAATGAGGATGAAGAAAGGCTATGGAATAATGCCAAGGCAGAGAGTCATGTACTGTAGTTCCTCCAATTATTCCTGTCTTTGTCTGCTAAGAGCAGCAGTCAATTTTTATTGTTGCTGTTTCAACCCTTCCTGCCCCCCCCCCCCAAAAAAAAAAAAAGAAAGAAAAAAGAAGAAAACATTGGAAAAATTGGCTTCTGCATTTCTGCTGTTGAATACAGCCAGAAAAAGCTCACATTGCTTCAAAAGCAATTTCTATGGCTGCTGAGATAAGTTGCAACATTCTCCCATGGTAAAATCCAAGTTTCCCAAATGAGCACTGTCCTGGCTCTTGTGGTCTAAGTGAGCTGTTTGCAGGTATACAGAGGCTCAGTCTGCGTAGGAGAAGAGGTGGGCCCAGACCAGGGAATTTGCACCCTGTGTAATATATTTGAATAGCTTCCAGGTTGAGGTCATGGTTGCATCATGTGGCAGAATGTGGCCAAACATTTACATTACAGCCTCTTGAGGGACATAAAAGCAGCTCAGAGAAACTGCAAGGACTAAGAATTTCAATCCTACTTGCATGGGAGAAGCCTGGCTTCCTCATGGAATCTCCCTTGGTATTTGCCTTGGAGCTCCTTAAGGGATAAGAGAGAAATGACAGAAAACAGTCAGTGAGAAGGAAATGCTTTCAGTGGGGCAAGGGATAGTAAATCGTCTCCCAGCCTGGAAGAATGCCAGTTACCTGCTCACAAGTTCCTGGTGAGATCATCTCTTCTTGTTCAGATACTCCTACGTTTTCACATTCCTTGTCAGTAATGAATTGCAGTTTAGAAACGCTAAATCGCTCTCACCTTATAAAGCACCTGGGTTTTTCACAGTCAGTTTGACTACAAATCAGGGAAAAGACTAGATTACCACATCAATAAAGCCTGGGGAAAGAACAGCTGTTAGCGTCCTGCTTAAGGTGCATAGCAAAGGGAGGAAATATATATTCGTTCTTGATTGAAGGGAAGAGGACATTTGGCAGGCTGCCGGGGGCTTTTCCTGTGCCTCAGCCCTGCTGGGAACGATCTATGTGGTTGCAGTTCTTGACTGGTTCGTTTGGCTGGTGGTATTTCTGGAGGACTAGAAAGCAGGTATGGAAAGTTTCTCAAGCCACAGATAAATAAATCACCTCTTGGGGCATTTTTCCTCTTCTCAGACTGGCTGGGGGGACTATGAGCAGTACCACCGCCCACCGATTGCCTGTGAGAAATAGTGGCTACGAGCTCTCCCTTATCCATTGCACTGTGATCTTAGGCTACCCAGAGTCGATCGACAATTTCTCTGTACTGGGTGACTTTGCCCTTAAGCATGTGACAAGGGGATATGTAATCTTTCCACCTGCTGTGTTGTGGGGGTGCTAAACCTTCTACTAAGTGGCATTAATATTTGCAGTCACCCCAGGTATTTTCAAGTCAGGTGAAGTCCTCCCTTAAGTTTTTCTTCTCTCATTCTTGAACTAAATATTACTATTGCTAATCTTATTTTTTTGTTTCTAATTGTTACAGCCTTTTTAAATTTTTTTTTTTATTGTTGACTAACAAATCTCAATAAAGAAGATTAATTTGTATTTCTGAACCTGTATGTTTTCCATCTTCACAGACATGAGCAGGCAGGAAAAAAGTCTTCAGTTTTATATTTGCATGACTTCGAGACTGAAGGTGTTAATGACAACCCTAAATCTCATTAAGCTCTTGATAAAAGTAGGAATGCTAATGACACTGCATTTATTAAGAGCTTCAGAATGTTAAGCCTAAAAAATAAAAAAGTCCTTCCTCTTACCACCAGCAGTGCTGGTGTCTCTTCTTGCCTGATGATTTTACAATCTCCAAGCAAAAATGGGGTCAGCGAGACCTATTATTCTTACTGTAAAGCCAAGTCCCTTCTTCCAGTGAGCAAACCACTGCCTTTTTAAGCCTTTAGCAGATACTAACAAAAACAATACAGTGGGGATTTTCTGTCAAGTCTCCTGGGGGGCTTGCCTATTGCATGCTCTCAGTTACAAATTTTAGTGACTGTGCTTTTTGAAGCAAAGGGGCAAATGGCTTAGAACAGCAAATTCTTGCCTTTTGCTAAGTTCCCCTGAAATACTGAATACAGACTAAAAAGCAACATCCTTGGTGCTGCAGTGATAACAGAAACATGCCTCTGTTTGTAGGAGAAAGCCAGCAAGTTGAGTCCTGGGCCACTCTGCCCTTCTGAGAGGCAGGTCTGTCTGGCACTGCTGGGGGCTTGGGCCTGGGGTGGAGTGCCCAGCTCTCCTCTTTACTCCTGCCTCATGAATATCTAAACTATTTACCCAGCAGTGAGTAATTACCGCAGTTCACAGCATAGCCTTTGAAGACAAATGGTTACCAGATTGCCTGAAAGCAGCAGGCTGGACATTGCCAGACACTCAGGAGTGCTGGGATGCAGGATGGTAGGAAACATAATGTGGAATAATTTCCCCCTGTCACAACTGAAATGGTCATGCTTGGCACTCTGAGCCTTGGCTAGGAGGTGGGTCAGGAAAGCATTTATGTTGTCCAGCTCCTGCTCAAACCTTCCCCCTTTCAGGCAGAGAGAGGAGAGGAAGAATTTTCTGAGATCATGTTTCATGGACTTGGGCATTACGTCCTTCTGCCTCAGTTCTGCATCAAGTTGGCAAGGATGACAGCTGAAATACAAGGTGCACAGATATGGTAGCAGTGGGCTCTGTCCCTGCAGCCTATGTCTTTCCTTCTTCCCCCACCTTACTGCATCAGCTGACTTTTCCTCTATCAGGGCTCATGACCAAGTTGATGTCTGTCTTTGGCTTCAGCTGGGAAGCAGGCAGGGTTATCTAGTGTCAGGACCCCTGCTTCCAAGCAAAATAAGTCGTACTGGTGAGAAGATCGCTGGATCAAAGGAGTTGAAGAATTAACTCAGTGCTATACCTGGTACTGAGGACACTAGCTGAGCCACAGGCACTAGGTGGATCCCTGATTCCTACTGATGCTGTAGAGTGAACATTGCCTGTTGCTGATTTTTGCCTTTGCCTCAGGATGTCAAAATATTCACACATTGCTTGCTAGGTTTGACCTTCTGAACAGGTAAATGAGAGAGGGAAAGACAGTTATGAATATTACTGTATCTGAAAAACTAACAGCATTCAATGGTGCCTCATTTCCCAGCTATCCCATCTCCTGTGTTGATTCTGGTTCCAGGGTAGTTTGGAAATCAGAATAAGATAAAGCCAAAGGATGGACTGGGATTTTTTTTTCTCCCTTTAAAATGGTTGCATTAGAAACATTCATTTGTAGAGGGGTTTTAAGGCAGAATGAGTCTTTGTGATCATCATCTCTGGTCCAGCATAAACCATGACTCTGTTTAAATGGGCTTTTTGTTTTGTGCAAACTCTTGAAATGTTGTGTTTTTCAGTGAGTGTAACAGAGAAATATAGGGGTTTCTGGGTGGGAATATCATGGCCCCTTCTCTCTCTGCTTGTTCCTCAGGAGGTCTACTTTTGAATACCTCCCAGTTGTGTCTTTTTATGGGGGAAACTTTCTCTTCTGATCTTGAGTACAAAGTCTTAGCCTTGCCTTTGGCAGCAATGAGCGACCTTCTGAAAGGTGGATCTAGCTGAGAAGTAGGAGCTTCTGTGGCTTGCTTGTAAGTCAGGAGAGAAATAGAGTGTAAGGTTCTTGTAAAACACTGTGAGGAACAGGACTCTGAACTGCAAAATATTTTCAAGACTGTTCTCCCATCAATCCTGTCCTTGCATATACCTGTTACTAAGGAGAAGTAAGCTGGGTATCTTTAAATAAGCTGGCACAAAGAAGATAAAACTTCATTTCTTAGAAGGGGTAGGAATCTGACTGCAGGCTTGTAGAGAGATGCAGTTCCCCAGTGGCTTTTTTTTGTTTTTTTGCAACACCCCGCTG